CCCCCCCCCCCCTTCAAAATTGTTTAGTGTTCTAGGGCAGAGATGCCTTCTGCATCCTCTAGATAAGTTGGCAGGGTGGGAAACACAGGCAGACATTTAGTCTTTTCTGCCAAAAGAGTTTGTTCTTAACTGAGAAAACTACCTCCCAGCTGTATTAATGTCTTGTGGCTCTTCCCTTTCAGTGCCTGAAGACATACACAGGACACAAAAATGAGAAGTACTGCATATTTGCAAATTTCTCTGTAACTGGTGGAAAGGTTAGTGTTTATTTGAGATACTTTTTACCATTGTGCAGTTTTTACTGCTTTTCTCTGTAGAAGAAACAATAGTTTGGGGATGGAAAGCTTCTTTGGTGGGTCCTGGTTCACAGGTGCCATGGTGCAGTGGGAGAAGGGGGGTGTCCTAGGAAAGTCCCTCTGAGCACCTCTGTGTCTTGAGGTGGGCCTGCTGTCCCACTGCAGGCTCCTGCCAGGGCAGCAGTAGAAAGGGACTTTCCTGCAGCAGGAGATCGGCTGCTGGTGTATCCATTTGCCATAGCCACGCAGCACTCGGCCATCAGGTGGTAGGTTGGTGTGTTCTGGTTGAGAAGACGCAACAAATCAGCAGAGATTAAGTCCTAACACAGAACCACCTTAGCACTTTTTGCTCTGTTAGTTTTCGTCCTCCAGCATATGCTGGGTGGAGCAAAGCTTTCTGCTGCCTGTATGCACTGAATAGAGGCGGAGAGAGAATGAACTACATCAAGCAGTCATATAATGTTATAAGTTCCCTTCCATATGCTGACAATGAAATGTTTACTGAATAATAGCAGGTAGATATAGATGAGGAGAAAGGTTAAAATAACTGTGTTTTTTCTCTGCCCTTCCAGTGGATTGTGTCCGGTTCAGAAGACAACCTGGTTTATATTTGGAACCTTCAGACAAAAGAGATTGTACAGAAATTACAAGGACACACAGGTGTGGAAGAGGATTTTGTTTTTATTGATGGAATATCCCTCATGTCAGCTTGTAATGAGGGCTTAGCTTGAACATTTTCTCTCTGTTGTTTAGTTTTGACTGTCAGACCCATAAATTCTTGACTGGCTGAAGCTTAATTGAACCGTAGGAGTTTGCTCCTTTTTATGAAGGGTTTTTTTTATGGGCATTGCAAGTGTTTATTCTTTCACTGTGAGAACTTGGACATCAGCTTATGAAAGAGATTTCCTTGAGTTCAGAACTAGTCAAGATATTTAAGTGACTCATAATATTAGTGACTTTGAATTGCCTGTTAACACCTTCTAAAGCTGCAGCTCTTGAAAGGATAAGGACTGGTGTGGTCCTGCTGTTTGTAAATGTCTGTATGTATGCATGCCTGTTTTTGAAGGCAGAGTTGAGCATGTATTGAGATGTCACCTGATGGGTACTTCAGTCTGAATCCCGTAAGAAAGCAACACTTTCACTGTACTGGCTAGAAGGAACTGTGCTGTGAAATCTAAGCATGTTTATTCTTTTGCAAGACCATTGATTTGGACTGTTAAGTGGGGGCAGTGGCAGCAGGTTTTCATTTTAAGGCTAGGGCAAGGCTCTGAAGATGAAGTGCTATCTAAGCATTGAATAGGATGCTGGAAATGCCTTACATGGAAAGAAAAAACCGAGCTGTGTTTTTATTAGCTGTGTCTGACATAATATGCCAAGAGTTTTGCCTGTGAAGTAAGCAAGAACTAGAATCTAGAGCATTCTCACATTTTGAAACCCGTCAAACATTTTCCAACTACTACTCTCAATTCTTTTTTGCTAGTGTTTCCTCTCACAGAGAAGCAATAGTTGGAAAATATTTATGAATAATGTGTTTGTAATTCTGCTACAAGGAAATAGTAACTTGGCTATGCTGTTTTAAAATGCAGTAGCAATACACATTCATTTTCAGAAGTGCCTTCTATGAACCAGATTTCATTGCTGTAAATAATGATATTTGTATATCTTTTCTTTTTGCTTAGATGTTGTAATCTCAACAGCTTGTCACCCAACAGAAAACATCATTGCATCAGCGGCACTAGAAAACGACAAAACAATTAAACTGTGGAAGAGTGACTGTTAAACGTTCCAGTATCACTTTAGAGACTGTCAGGAAAAAAGTTTTTAAAAAAAAAAAAATAAAAAACCACATGAGAATAATAAATCCAGTTTGGCAGGAAACCTGAAGAGTATTTGATAAAGTGGTTTCTGTTAGTCTTGGCCCAAAGAAAACGTCTTAGCTCTATGCTAGAACTGGGCAACGTGGTGAAAAAAAAAAAGATGCAGTGTCTCCTTTTCTTGCCTAATCTTTTGGCAGACAAGTGGATCATTCTGACATCGCGTTAGAAGTGTCAGCCTTGTATTGGACACCCCAAAGATACTGTACTTTATGGTGGCATTACTTCTGGGCACAGTTGCTGCTTAAGGAAGAGCTGCCAGTCTACTTTGTAACAGTAAGTTAAGTCACGAGCCTAGAGATGTGTGGAATTTTTTTAAATGTCTAATTTTTTATTTTTTATTTCCAGAATGTAGGTTCTAGTCTCTTGGGAAGTTTCTGTATTGTTTTAAATAGGAGTACTGCATCTTTAAGGGTGCTTCATTTTAAACACTCAGCTCAAACTTCGTGACCAAATAAAACCATGCAGTTCCAGATTTCCCTCTTCCTGCCCCAACTTGACTCCTGTGGTGAAATCTCCTCTTACCTTCTGTATAGTTGCTTACCTCTTGTTACGTGTGTTTAATAGATGCTGTTCTAGAGCAAAGTTACAGTTCTTCTGTTAACCATTAAAATGAATCCTGCTTGTAGTTGTTCTCAGCATATTTTAATTTTTTTCTCTTCTGGTTATAAAGCAAGCTCACAGAACACTGTAAAGTTATTTCAATGTAAAAAGGAAAAACCCAGACTTTTGTATCTTGAAAATCCATTGTATGAAACTGTATTGATAATGGCATGACTCTGTATCTATTTCAGCATTGGTATTTCTTTCCCTTTTTGTCATACCCATGTGGTATTTACACATCCAAAAAGATACCGTATGCCATAATAAAATAAAAAGGTGGGATTTTATGTCTATGCTTGTGGTAAGAGTGTACTAATATGAAGTGTCCGTGTCCAAAGAAGCCTCCCTTAAAAACACCTTTGGAAGGAAGTATTTCTGTAGCTGCTTCATTGAGTGAGGAGGGGAGGAGGAGGAGTGGTGTGGTACTTCACCTCTGTTGTGGAGAGAGAAAAGAGGAGCATAACTCAAGTCAAAATTTGTTTAAAGAAACTCAGAGGATTGAACTGAAGGTGTCCTCAGCAGAGGTAACATTAGTACGAACCCTCACAGAGACCTTTAGCTAAGGGGAAAGGAATCCTGCTGCCCTCTCCTTGCAGAATGGGCAGGGCAGACTGAGTGATGATCCAGGAGTTAGCTTGTGCTGGTTAAGAATTGCGTTGAGGCACAAGTTTTATTGCACCCAAAGGGTTCTGCTGTAAGGGGATGTTTTGTTCCCGGTGAAGCAAAAATCCATTTTTTTGGTATCAGCCTCATGTGCTTGATAATAACTGAAAATCAATTCCAGTACAAACCTTTTCTCTAGTGGCTGCTCAGAGACTGCCTTGCTTTACCCTTAGCGAAGAAGACAGCTGCAAGACATGAGGTATAGCTTTTCTTTTTAAAATATAAAAATAGATTTCATGTTGAGCTTGTGCTAAAATGGCTATTAATAATATCACTGTCTTTTGAGTTTTTTCATTACGCCCAGGAAAGGACACTCTGTCTCTAGACTTAGTGAGTGTTACTGCTGAAATAATCAATTTCTTCATGAGGTTTTTTTTCAGTGTTTTTCTCATAGGCTGATGAAACTTTTCAAGTGCAAGATGTGGCTGTGCTGCTTTACCAGTGTGGAGAAGCTGCTATATTACTCCAGCAAAGCATTTTTACATAGATTCAGAAATGTTTTGTAGCATAGTACTTCCTGGTAACTGTGTGTGAGTGGCTTTGCTTGCCCAGCTGGGCTGTGGCTTTCCCTGCTCTCTGAGCCAAAGAGCTATGGAGAAGGGAGATGGTTTTCCTGCTATCAGGAGGAAATCTCTTGATCAGGGATATTTTCCCCCAGTCTTTTCCCCCAGACTGAAGAGCCCTGGCGTAAAGGATCTACTAGAAAGCTGTCCTTTGTAAAGGTTGTGTTTAAGTCCCTAGTATCCCACCTGGGAGTAATGCTGGGGCCTATCTCCATGAGCTCTACTTAGCTATAGTTATATCCAGCCTGGCATGTCAGTGGTGGTTTGACGGCTGGGATTAGCTAATCTTGTAAAGCGCAGTACTGAAAACAAGGTTTGTGCGATGGCTGGGCTGGCTTGCCCTTGTGTAGTAGGAGAGACGTAGCTTTGCTTGTGTTAGGTGCAGGCTTATAGCAGCTGGAGCATGTTTGCAACCTGCTGAGGGGAAGTGAGCTATCATCCTGGGCCTCTGCTCTGCTGGGTGCTTTTAGGGTGAGGGAAAAGGAGAATCTGGGAGAAGAAAGAAACCGGAGATGGTGTTTTTAGGGAATCCCCCCTAAAAACACCCACAAAACCCAAACGAAAAACATGGTTAGATGCCACGAAGTAGGTGGCAGTGCCTTAACCGTATGCGTGTTGTATAGGCCACTAGGGCCTCTTCCATCCTTATCAAGGGGAGTGCTAACCTTCTCTCCTTTCATACAACACGCATTCGCGTCTACCCCCTCTGCTATTTAAACCTCCATCAGTCCGGTTCTATCACAGATCGAGTGAGAAAAAGTTCTCGTTTCCTTCCTTCTCAGTTTGATATCGCCTTCCGATCCTCATAGGAAATTTTTACTCCAAGTCCTCTTGTGAATAGAAAAACCCTGAAAACCCCGTGAAAATAGCACAGACGTGCGGTTTTTTTGTCCGCTTCTTAATGTATTCATCACTCTCAGCCAATCAGAGCGCAGCAGCCGGATTCTTTTGGACTGCCCCCTGCCGTTGTCGCCGAGCCCCCGCCCTGACGAACGGGCTCGCTCCCAATCAGCGGGCGCGTTTCCCTGGGGAGGGCGCTTCTCCTTCGCCTCGCTAATAGCGGCAGGAGGGCCCGAGTGCCCGGGTTCGAGTCCCGCCTCGGGCTGGGGCGCGGAGCGGAGCCGGGGCTGCGGACGCCGCCGCTGCCGGTGGGTGGTGGGGCGGGGGCGGGGGCGGGTGCCGCCCGCTGAGCTCTGCCTCTCGTAGGGATGAGCTCTAAAGCAGGATTTGCCGGCGAACCCGTCTAATCTGCGCAGGGTTTAGCCGTCTTTCTGGGTATCCCGAAGGTTTAAGTGGGAACACGAGTGTATCGCGGGATTTGCTAATCAAATTTTTCTCAGTCAGGGGAGGAAGGCCTTTTCCTAACGTGTTCCCGGTGCCCCTGAGCTGATAAATCTCTCAGAATTGCATCAGAGCTAATGACAAGTTAAAAGAAACCTATACTGGCTCCAGATGTGGAAGTGGTCAAAGAGGTTGGGTTTGGTTTTTATTTTTTTCCTCCTTTTCTAAAGGTCTTTTTGCCTTCTGCATCCCAAGGGAATAAAACCAAAACAAATGTCTAGCTAAATCAGCACCGGCAGCACCTCAAACCGGCCAGGGGAACTGGTTCGGGGTGACGTTCCCACTGGGGTGACCCACCCCAGCATCTGGTCCCACCGACGGTGGATTTAGTGCACCGTGCCGTCCCCTTGGCGTTCCTGCGGCTTCCCGCTCGGTTCCCTGCGGAAAGGGCCAGCCGGTGCCACGTGCCGCTCACGTTGGAGCTGGATGAGGCCGCGGAGCCAGGTGCTGCGCCCAGAGGTGTTGCATGGCCCCGGACCCGCCAGCTGTGCAGAGCTGCTGCAGCGCTGCAGCAGAGCCCAGGCTGCTCCCGGCTGCCCCTTCCAGATACCGAGGAGTTTATTAAGGGATTAAAAGTTAGTTTCCCCTCCTTATTGAATGCTCTGATTTATGCATGCGTTTAAATCAATCCCATTTCCTGCGTTTTATCCCTTCTCCCCAAGGCTTTCAGGCTTTGCTCTGTTAGACGTTTGTTATAATCACATTGTTTTGAGGCAAGCGAGGCACCGTGGGTGGTTTAAGTGATTTGAATAAATGAGCTGCATTACTTAGGCACTCCTCCCAGGTGCTAATTGCCCTTCCTAAGCTGTAGATGCCCGTACTTGGACAAGATTGTGCTGCCTCCCAGTGAAATATTAACGGGCATAACTGCTAATGAAGATGCTCTGCGGAGACGAGGTCCAAGCCCCTGTCTGGCAGAACAGGTGCCCACGATCTGCCCGGTGGGCTGGGGTGCCCAGGATGGGGGATTTCAGGTGCTGCTAGCAGGCCATTGCTGGATGGGCTACATAAGCAGATTATTTTGTCATTTTAATTTTTTAATCCCATGCATTCGGTCGTGTTCTCTTATTAGTAAGCATTAGCTCTCTAAGTCCCATTAGCTCCACTGAGACCTGGGGCTTTGCTTGTGGGGACAGCGATGGAGGAGCCAACAAAGGTCTGGGGACCTGATCCTGCAGCCAGTGATGTCCGTGATGCCCCATGTGGCTGTGGGTCTGATCCTGGCCCCGCAGGATCGGAGCCATCACAGCTCAGTGCTTTCCACCGCTGCACTCCCAGCCCCCTTTCCCAAGCCCCGAGCAGCTCCGAGTGGGCTCCCTCCAGAGCCGATGCAAACTTGGGGCTGGCCCCGTTTGCCCTCTTGCTGCTTTATTAAGGCAACTGTTTTCTTGTGCATAAATGCATATGTTACATTCAAACCCACCTCTCCCTCCACCAGGTTTTGCCTGTTAACCCTGTGGCCATCCCCAGGGCGGTACTTTGCTAGAGCATCTCAAGCCTTGGATTTACAATTAATTGACTGCTTCTCTTTAATAAAATTATTCCTGCCCTCTTTAAATAGCACAATATGTCACAGAAAGCCGGTGGGTCCATTTGTGAAGATGAGGCAGCTCAGAGAGGAAAAAGAGGAGGAAAAAAAAAAAAAAGTAAAACCACACATCTCCCCAAACCCCTTCTGCGTAATCCAACTGAATTAGAGGATTTCGAAGTGGATTTAAAACTAAATCTTGATTAGGGAGAATTTCTCTCCAAGAGCTGCTGCACGGTAGTATTAATGGGAAGTGATCGTGGACAGAGGAAATAGGACAGAAATAACCGAGGGTAGCACATACGCACTCACGTCTGTGCATGAACTGAAAAAATCAGAGAATTTCTCAAGAGGCAAAGGGAGAAATTAAGCATCGACATAACAAGACTGGGCTCCACGGGGCTGGCCAGACGAAGTGGGGAGCGGCCAGATCCCTGCTGCACCCTTTATTCTGGTGGAGGGTTTTGCAGGTGAAACGCAAGCGGCGCGCACGACCGGGGGAGAGAGCCGGGAGGAGAGCCGGTCTCTGCCCGCTCCCCCAGACACCGGTGTTCGTCCTCCGAGCCCCGGGTGGGCAGTGGGAGCTGACCCCCATGCTCTCAGGACACATGCCTGGAGGTGCCCATGGGATCCTCTCGCTGATAACCGTGGTGTTCGTCCTCCCAGAGGGTAAGTGCCGCTGTCCTCGGGCTGCGGAGGGTGCCCGTGCTTTGGAGTTACGGTCATTCGCATCTTCCCCAAACCCTGCTTGTTAAGGTGTGATTTCGTGTCGGGATGAATTGGGGGGCATTTCTGCCCCAAGCAATGTAGCTGCGTGTCGGTGGTTTTTGGAAGGAGCTAATGTCATCGCATTTTGTGCAAAACGAGGGCATGTGGGCCAGGAGCCAGGATCCCCTGGGGTCCCCTTCCCCGGTGCCGGGGCTCCCCTTGCCATGCCGGGCTGTGCCAAGGGTGATCCCCCACCTCCCAAAAACCCCACGGGAGTAGACAAGGCCAGACTCGGGAATGGCTCCGCATCGGCATTCAGAGGCAGGGAAAGGGGACGGCAACAGTTAAGCGCAACCTGATTTTTGTTGTTGTGATTAATCAACTCAGAGCTCAGGTACTGCATTTGCCTTAAACTCTGCGGGTGATGTAAATGAATATTCTTTGAAGGCTTTTTTTTTTTTTTTTTTAAAGAAACCTGAGAAAT